CGTTTTATCTAATATAGTATTTAAAACTTGTTATATATATTTTAGTATAGTGGGGCATAGGACTACTATCAATTGTGGCGTAGGTGGGAAAGGCAAAACGACTGTGTTAAAGACGTGACAGTTTCGACGCCTTTTTCACCTTCACATTAAAAACACTGTATTTGAAGTATTTTTATTTTTATTCTTAAAAGGTATCTTTATTTGTCCACACGTTTGTTCTCTAATTAACTTGGATCCTTTTCAAGACTGAAATCTTTATTTTTTTTGTGCGCATTTAGTGGCATTTTTAAAACTTAGACAAGACAGGGCGAGTTTATGAGCTGTTCTCCTGTTCATTCGCATTCGTCAGGCAAGATGATTGAATTGCCACCTGTTAAAAGCATCAGCTACGATGACCATGCGCGATCCAGTCTACCACCTGTTGTCGCACACTACTTTGAGGATGAGGAGGATCACAAAGTAGCCACTCTCCCTGGCACCCATGTTGCTTTCAGCAAAACCAAGCCGTCAAACTCAGAGCCAGATAATACAATAGCGCACCCTATGTGGGACTGCGTGCAATCCTCGTCGGGGTTGAGCTACTCGTGGGCCAAATCGACCGCTCACGTGGGTGGGAAAAAGCACGGGATCGGCGCCGTGAATCACGGGGTTCGCGACAAGCCGCCGCGCCCGGGCCCGGAGATAGAGCCCTTTTCTCTGCGGAAGAACATTCAACTCGACCCCATTCCCTTTTTATCGAGGGAGTCCACAAGGGCCGGGAGCCTCAGCCATTCTGTTACACCGCGGCTTGACGACGGGGCCCCCCGTCATTTGGCCGAGTGCGAGGAGCCCTCACCGCTGCTAGCCTCAGCCCCCTTTCCTGCAGACTTGCGGGGGGGAGGGGGAGGGGGGGGTCATCTTCCCCCCCCTCCGTTTCACACACGAACCTCGCGGCGCTCCCCCGCGGCGACGCCTACTACTCCCTCACAGAGGTGATGGAGAAGCCGGGTGCGGTCTTCCATGACACGGTGGGCCCGGCGCCCACCCGGGGGAGGGATCCCCGTGGGGGGGA